TGGGCGGGGCCGCTCTCCTGCCGCGTCTCCGGGTCTTCCCGGGTAGTGCGGAGCCCGGGGCCGCCTGGCTTTGCTCCCCTGGCTCCGGATGACACAAGTTCAGGTGCGAACTGCTCCCCGCCCTTTCTTCCGGGCCACCAACAACACTTATTTAGTTTTACACCTGAGCGCCGACACCATACAACCAGGTTTCTCTTGTTCGGCAAGGGATATTTGTTTAGTCACTTTTTTGCTTAGGGCGCTATAAATATTTTACATCTGCATGCATGCGGGTGCGTCCCATGGTGTGGTAAGTTGCATCTTAGGAATCTAGGAATTGTGGTTTCTCATTTTTAGCTCTTCTGTTTGGTAGATGTTGAATTTTTTTAGGCAGTTGGTTCTGTTTTTTTAGTAAGTTGAACAGGCAGAGATGTCAGAGTTTAAGGAAAAATTTAGTAGTGTACTTGACAGCCCGCTGTGAAAGACAAGTAGCATGTGTGTTTTATATTGTAAGTTGGTTTTCTTAGCCAAGAGATAAACTAGATTCAAGAAGCTTCTTGATGTATAATCAGATACATCCAAAAGTGTCATATTGTTTGAAGTTTGGTCTGTCCAATTAATGGACTGCCCAGTTGGTTCAGCCAGATTGTCCCTGAAGTGGGTGGGGTGGAGGATGGAATAAAATAGTGTTTGAAAATCCTTGTATAGTAAAAGGTCTCCCCACCTCCCCTGTTGCACTGGAACAATAGGTGGGAAACTCCAACTTACCCTGATAAGCAGCCTTGTTTTCTCCAACTCATGGCAGTTCCTGGTGTTTCTAATGATCTGTGCTTGCTTAGTCATACCTGTCTTTTGTAGGTTTCCCCAGGGAGGTTGCACTTTATGTGTTCAGAAACCCATAATGGCTCATGGATGAATTTATTCAGATGCAGTCCTTACTAAGAATCCTTCAAAGCTTTTCATTTCACCATGAACTTGCCTCTCACATAGTTTTTCCACTAGCACGTTACTGTTTGCAGAAGGGATGCTTTGCAATAGTAATATAATAGTTAATGTCAAGTCAGGGTCATTTCTGGGCTTATCCTGTCAGTAGGTAGTTTGTCAAGGTGGTGCTGGAACCCTGCATCCCTATTTATTTCATCAATCTGTTAACAAGTATCTATTGCATACCCGCTCTGTGCCTTAAATTTTTAAACTTAATGTTATGTTTTTCACATGAAATGAAAATTGAGAAACCAAAGTTTTAGTATGGATGCTGACTAAGGATGAAAGTTTGGATTAGGCGTTCATCTCTGCCTGAGTTTCGCCCCTGTAAAATGAAAGATTTTGATGTGTAACTCAGAATTGCACTGTAGCTTTAAAATGCCTTGCCAGTTTGGATAACAATGTGCTCATTAGCCTCAAAGTGAATTTATTCTTTCCCTTGAGTGTTTTACTGTGATGTTTCAGGTCCCCTCACTACACCGTCTTGTAGCTGTCTTCTGAGGTGCTTTCATTTCAGCTGGGAGACACTCAGTTACCATATACAGCCCCATACAGTTAATTATCTGTTCCTGCTTTTGAAAGATCCACTCTTCTCAGATCTTAGACAATCCTCATTCACTGAGTCCCCCTCATTGTAGAATTATCCCTGTATCAGTACACAGTTCTCCAGTAATATCCAAATCACTCTTGATGACATAATGTTACACCCACTTGCAGGAGCAGTGATGGCTGGAGGTGCAGCTCAGTGAGAGAGCTTGTCTAGCATGCCTGAGGCCCTGGGTTCAGGCCCTGACACTGCCACAGAAGAAAAAAACATTTATCAGAACTGATGAAGGTGGTTAGGTCATCTCTCCAGCTGGGGAGCCTAGTGGGACCTACAGCATTAAGCAGTGTAATGCCTTTATGGGAAAGCACTGTTCCCCTCCAGCAGCGATGGGGTTGATGTTGGCACTTGACCAGCTCGTGCATGGGAGAACACATAGTTTGCTTCCTAAGTCAGTTTGGTTTTAGTAGAAATTTATTAAGCCACAAGGATGGAATGTGACTAGAGTTGGACTTCGTTAAGTCTCAGGGATTTCCAAAAGATCTCTATTCTAGTCGGCAAAACATTTAAACAAATTACTTCTTTTCTTTTCTTATATTAGCGATTAAACCCGGCTCCTCTCACTGAACTACATCCCCTTATTTTTTATTTTTATTTTTCATTTTGAGATGGGGTCTCCAGAGTTGCTAAATCGCCCAGATTGGGTTTAAATTTATGATTCTCTTGCCTCAGTCTCCAGAGTGCTGGGATTCCAGGAGTGCACCACCACACCCAGCTCACTTAAACAAACTGTTTAAAGGAAATGGCTTGCCTTGTTCTGCCCAACTCTCCCACTTCAATAACTGGAATAACCAGCGTGGAGGTGTGGTTGACCTTTCATCCTTCCCAGCCCTGGGTGAAGTCTACTAGGAAAAAAAAAAATGTGATGCTGCATTATTAAGGAATGGACAACAGAAAATCAGATTTCTGCAACTGATAATGTCGCTGTCATTCATGTTACAGGGATGGCACATTTTATTTCTAAGGGAATAATACATGCATAGAAATGTTATTTGAAAATTTAATTTATTCTGAATTAATTTATTTCCAAAAGGGGAGGGCTTGCTTTGTCCAGAAAATATGTTAATATGACTTTTAATTTTAAAATTGAAATCACTCGGTTGTTTCATTTATTCACTCTAGTATCTTCTGAGTGTCTGCACCTGTTCTTGGTCTTAAGGGACCCAGGGGAGAATAGAGGGCATGGTCTGTTCTTGAGGAATTCGTGACCAGCTGGGGAGATAAGCAAGGACGGTTAGAACAAGCATAGTAGAGCACAGCCCAAGGACACATGCCTCTTTCTGGGACATTCTTACCAAAGATAGAAATAATATAGGTGGCAGAGGGACGCTTTGCAAGATGTCAGATAAGGAGGAAATATGGGAGAGATCCTAAAATATGCATGTGGGAGACTGGGGCAGATGTCAGGGAGAGGAACTGAGTTAGATTTGGAGCCTGGGAGAGTTCATAGTGCTTCTTGCTCAGGTTAGAAATGAAGGAGGTTTGGGTGGGAGGGGCAGGCTGCAGAGGACGCGGTGGGCCTCTTTTGATGACAAGGTGGACTTAAGTCCCTGGAGGAAGCCTGTGGTGCTCAGCATCTCAGCAGTATTCTGCAGCTGCAGCTTGTTTGCTGCCTGGAGCCTTTTGTCCTTCAGGGAATGAGGTCCTGTGTTACAGGGAGGGTCCCCTGGTATGTGATATCAGAAGAATCTTTACCTTCCTATTTGCCTGGAATAAAATTTTCAAACAAACAAACAAAATGTTTTACCTTATACTGAAGTTCCTAGACTCAGAGTTGGAAGGAAATGAAGGTATTTTCTAGTGAAGCCCAACCAATGTTATAGAGAAGGAAGTTGGGGTCAGAGCTGAGATGGAATTGGAAGCCAGAGTCCTCGTCCCACAATGCATTCATTAATAAGTCCATGCATTCGTTAATGCACCGATTGATTCTTGTGTTTAACAAACAAGCATTGGAAATTAAGTAGCAGGTGCTCGTGATGTTAGGTACTAGGTGTCAGGCTGGCTGGGAAAGGGCTTGGACTCTGCCTTGTGGTCCAAATCAGCATTGCCTCCTTTAGGCTCAGAGAGTTAGCATGCAGCCAAAATCAAAGAAAATGAAGAAATAACCTACTGTGCAGGATGTTTCCGTGAGCAGTGCAGGATGGGCTAAGAGCACAGTATATCCCTGGATGTTGGAGAATCACCATTAATGGGAGCAAAAGAGACAGAGATTTGAAGCAAAGTTGGAAAATGTGTTTTGTCTAGGGTTGCGGCATTGTTTTTAAGTGAGGGTAGGTATGAAGGGGGAACATACAAACAATGCTCAGAGTTGTCTTGTTCTTTGCAATTGTAAAATGTATACTTATTGCTGTACAGGATTATTTCAAACATGCAATTACCAGTCAAGCTGTTGTGTCCCCCTAGAGTGGATTCAGTGAAACTTCACTGTGTAAGGAAACCTCGGAAAAAGAGTTCCAAAGCAGTTCATGTCAGGATGTGATTGTGCCTAAAGGGTCACATTATTTCCTAAATTAGTCGGTCACAGAGAATCGCTGAGAGTGAGTGCAAGGATGCCCGGATTCTGTGGGATCTTCACT